AATTTGGTACATACATTAAACATAATAGGACCTTGATGCACGTCTTTTTTTTTTTCGGATCAAGTTCGAAATGGCCGACTGGCGGCCATTTTGTTAAAGAATTCAGTTCTGGATTCGTATCCAAGACATGTCTGGATTGATCAAGTTCAAACTTCACACACACATGGTACATCATGTCACAAATAGATATGTGCATTTGTTTCATGATCTGCTTAACAATAGCGGAATGATGGCCATTTTAAGGCCGAAAATGCATCAAAATCACGTATTTTCACAATTTCAGAACCGGATCTCAGTCATGCATGGATGGATTTTGTTCAGATTTAGCACAATGTGTTGTACATATGCAGGTGCATTTCGGTCATGATCTGCTTTGAATGTATATGTCACTCAAATATGAACGGAACGGGGACGTGTCATTGACAATGACTTGTTCCTTAAATAATATAGAGCACAAAGTATAGATGAGAATATTTCCTTAAATAATATAGAGCACAAAGTATAGATGAAAGTATTTCCAGGTAGAATATAGACAACAAAGTGTAGATGAAAATATTTCCTGGTAGAATATAGACCACAAAATGTAGATGAGAATATTTCCTTAAATAATATAGAGCACAAAGTATAGATGAGAATATTTCCTTAAATAATATAGAGCACAAAGTATAGATGAAAGTAGTTCCAGGTAGAATATAGACAACAAAGTGTAGATGAAAATATTTCCTTAAATAATATAGAGCACAAAGTATAGATGAGAGTATTTCCTGGTAGAATATAGACAACAAAGTGTAGATGAGGATATTTCCTGGTAGAATATAGACAACAAAGTGTAGATGAGAATATTTCCTTAAATAATATAGAGCACAAAGTATAGATGAGAATATTTCCTTAAATAATATAGAGCACAAAGTATAGATGAAAGTATTTCCAGGTAGAATATAGACAACAAAGTGTAGATGAAAATATTTCCTGGTAGAATATAGACAACAAAGTGTAGATGAAAATATTTCCTTAAATAATATAGAGCACAAAGTATAGATGAGAGTATTTCCTGGTAGAATATAGACAACAAAGTATAGATGAGAATATTTCCTTAAATAATATAGAGCACAAAGTATAGACGAGAGTATTTCCTGGTAGAATATAGACAACAAAGTGTAGATGAGGATATTTCCTGGTAGAATATAGACAACAAAGTGGAGATGAGAATATTTCCTTAAATAATATAGAGCACAAAGTATAGATGAGAATATTTCCTTAAATAATATAGAGCACAAAGTATAGATGAAAGTATTTCCAGGTAGAATTTAGACAACAAAGTGGAGATGAAAATATTTCCTGGTAGAATATAGACCACAAAATGTAGATGAGAATATTTCCTTAAATAATATAGAGCACAAAGTATAGATGAGAATATTTCCTTAAATAATATAGAGCACAAAGTATAGATGAAAGTATTTCCAGGTAGAATATAGACAACAAAGTATAGATGAAAATATTTCCTGGTAGAATATAGACAACAAAGTGTAGATGAGAATATTTCCTTAAATAATATAGAGCACAAAGTATGGATGAGAATATTTCCTTAAATAATATAGAGCACAAAGTATAGGTAGAATATAGACAACAAAGTATAGATGAAAATATTTCCTGGTAGAATATAGACAACAAAGTGTAGATGAGAATATTTCCTTAAATAATATAGAGCGCAAAGTATAGATGAGAATATTTCCTGGTAGAATATAGACCACAAAGTATAGATGAGAATATTTACTGGTACAATATACATCGCAAAGTGTAGATTTCTCATCAAGGATCATCATTTCTCATCTACGTTCATGTTTTTTCATCCAAGTCCATCATTTCTCATATAAAGTCATCATTTTTCATGTATGTTCATCATTTCTTGTGTAAGGCCATCGTTTCTCAAATAGGGTCATGATTTTACTTTTAGACTCGTAATTAGTCATCTGGGTTTCTAATTTCTCATTTATTGATTTAGCTGAGCCTGAATTATTTCATTTATCATAAATAAATGCTGTGTAGATAAAAAAGTAACACCAAATTAAACATTTTAGTGTGATTCTTCAATTTGATTAACTCATTACAACGCCTATCCTGATTTGCTGCTACTATCAGCCATTTCCTAAGGTTCACCATTTCAGCCAATGAAAATTAATACATTTGTATAAGTAATGTCATTTTAGTGACAGTACAGTCTGTAACAAAATATATTAGAAGTATTGCCTAGCAGATTGTAAAAGAAATGTCAAAGGTTCAATTATGAAAGACAGGAAGGAACAGTCCCTTCAAGGATGCCAGCAATCTTCTTAGCTTACTAATGAAATCTAATTCCTTGTCTGCCAGCTTGGCATTGGTCAGAGGTTACCCAGGTTCTACTATTGATATCGTGTTGTCTTATTTGCATTAATGGCTTCAACGTAGCATACTTCCTGTATCACAAAGTATTACACAAGTTAAGAATTTAAAATTCAGAGAATATTGTATTTTTACAAACCAAGCGTGAAAATGAATGACTTTACCAAATAATTGGGATAATATCAGCAATGACCTTGAATAATTAGGGCATTTACTAGAAGAAGACATTGCATATATATGTCAAACACATTTATTGTTATTACCCGGTATTCACAATTGATTTGC